TTCGTCACCCTGGACATTCCATATGGAAATAAACGTATCCTTCGGGTCTACGGCTTTCATAACTAATCTCCCTTCGTCGTCAATGTAGGCCAAAGACTTTCTTTTCATGCCCATTGGATTCGTCATTTCGTCAAAAGGTTGACCGATCTTAAAAGTCGCCACAAAAGACTGCTTTTCAATATCAAATTGTATGCAATAAACGTCTCCGTTCTGCGATATATTAATGATCGGACTTGAGCATGCTGTTTTTCTAGCCACTGCCAAGGGGAGACCCAATCCTTGCATCAGTACCTCTATCAGGTCATCATCGTCAGAATCACGGTCGTGCTTCCATTTCCCAATCATCAATTGTAGAATCGACATGGTTTCGAAGTCGGGTGGAATTCCTGAGATTACACGCGAAATGGCAACTTGCAATACTGGTTCGAACAAAGACAATAGAGAAGAGAGGGGAAGGCAACGCGATATTTCCTTTGAGGTAATGTCTCTTGGGGAAAACAACCGAATAACCTATAATGTTGTGATAACTGTTCACTTCCTGCCAGCGAAAGTTTGCGTGAACGGTTCGAAATCCCGAACGTTCACGTAGTTTCCGAGTGTGAGATTATGCTAATATTTATTGTGTTTTGGATGGGTGATTATGTGCAGCAAAGATGGCGAAATGAAAGTTGCAGCTCTGTATCTCTTGGGTTCGTAATAGCCCATTTCCTTGCCCGTATCATCGTAGATGAAGGGAAAGGTGATAAACGGAAATGTCCGTACTCGATGTTGCTGTTGCTGTTGACTCCGTCGTAAAACATTTGTTTGCGGTTTACAATTACTCAAACAGTTTGTATACATTCTCTTTCAAACTTAGATATTATAAACCATTTTGGAATCTCAGCCAAGTTTGATTTTGGTTCATGTTCTATTAATATTTTTCAAGATATCCGTAAAATTTCACTTAAAACTGCCTTTTTCTTGTGGTTAAAATACCTCAAACAATTTTTATCTGGCCATCTTAAAATATGGGAATTTATGTCAACCAAGTTCAATTTTTGGCATGACTCATCAAGTACACTTCTCAAGATATAAGTTAAAATATGGCTGAAATAAAATATTTGACATAAAAATAACGGACAGAAAGGAGACATTTATACTGCAGATAATAAAAACAAGATATTGCAAGTACTGCAGTCTGTTCAGTGGCTGTTTAGATATCAGTGGGAAAGCTGGAATTGGTTAATTAGTAAGCAAATGAGGTAATAAATGTGCATTCAGCATTGTCCTGGGCATCTATGTACAAAGTTTGGTTAAAGTCATCACCTGTGCATGCGCAGGAAATGAGTCCCAAGCAACGATAACAGCACGCTAAAACGCAAAGGCTCATGGGTAGATGCTTGTTTGTAAACAATGATACGCTATGGCCATCTGGCGCATGCGCAGGTGATGACTCCCTCGCTTTAATTATTTCAACCAAAAACTAATTCGACAAGTGGTTCTCTAATGGTGGAACAGACATATATACGTACAAATATTATATTTTAATATATTTTAATTAATATTTGACTAAAATGCAATCATATATAGAATGCGATTTAATTGGAGTTTAATTAAACTCAAACTATGTGGAATTGTGTTTTGATTAAAGCGCGGTAGTCGTCGCGGTAGATATATGGGTCTCGTATAAACAAAGATGGCGACTTTGACTGTTGCGCAAATCAACGAGTACGAACTGAGACGTTTCTAAGCTTTAATTAATTAATTTTCATGTTATTGGAAGGTATCGAAGGAGTCATCGGCGGTAATCAGTGCAAGTCGCGCCAAGGTCAAACCTCATACTTGTGATTTTCATTTGAAGAGCGCACTTGGTTGTGGGAAAATCAATGTTTAGTTTAGTTAATAAAATGCGACAGAGTAGAAACACTATGTAAAAGTGTTTGCAAAGCTTAGGGTTAGTAAAAATGGGAGGTATGGTACAGTTATATTAACTTATATAATAATGTAAGTTCACACACACACACACACACACACACACAGATGGACAAGATAATCCCAAAGATCCCATTGTGTGCTACACAATGCTGTACACAGGAGTCGAAAATTGACTTCAGCAAAACCAAGAGCTACAGCTAGCAAATGGCGACCACCGGTTTGAAGATGTTCAGAATGAATTTATTGAGGTTTTTTCAAGTATGTCTTTAGGTAAACCTCCATGGGTAAACCATGGACCATAAGTAAACCAATATTATTGCATGTATGAAGAACAATCACTCAGTTCGCAATATGAAAATTTTAAGACAGTGAACAAGCTTTGCCTCCACAGTGGCTCATCAGGAAACTCCTGGAAGGAAACTATCCCACAAGGAAAATGGTTTATCTGGGTTACTGTAAAATAAGTGTTTTGATATTACCCTGGTATATTAGTTTTAAGTTTAGTATTTATCAGGGAATTTTCGTTATTTTACATTTATTGTATTATAAAAAGTACGGGTAAGAATGCAATAATTACAGCTATTTATAGCCCAGATGTAATGACATGTACGCTTTTGAGTACTTGGCTGAGCAATGTTTTTTAACATATTTATTATGTACATTTTCTTGGTATTCTTATTTTTCTGCAACTTTGGTTATGTTTATATGAGCTAGTACTCAAAATAAAGTATATTATTATTATTATTATAGCAAATTTTATTTGTCAGTGAAATTAAACTGATTAATTTATACAGTTATAGTATATGGTATTTTATACGTACTGTTAATTCACTTGTGTCTATGGAGCAAACAATGTTTTTGTATATTAGAGCATTAATCAGGCTCAAAACCAAGATGCATTATAAAGTTTAACACCATTTATCTTGGAAATGTCATGTTTATAACACCTCCAAAAGTCAGAAAGTACTGGAACCATTTAGGATACATAGGTTTATTTGGGGTAAAGACCCATGGCCATAGAATTTCATTGGTGTTGGGGGACTGTTACAAACAAGCGAGTCTTTGCAATTTTAGTATGCAATGTCATCTTCGTTTTAACTTTTTGGTGTGCAGCGACATTCAATTAGATTATGTCAACAACTTGTTGCCTAGTTTGCATTTGGTTTACGAAGCATTGTTCAGGCCATACGTTTAATTGCGTCACAGTAGAGGGACTGTGATTACGTAAACCCACATTTCAATTAGTCTTTATGCAAATTGTAAACCACATTACAGTTGTATTCAAACGGGGATTGCATTACCGCTATTGTAAATCTCCCACCACTTGTGGACCTACATTGTTATACCATGGGGTATAAGACGAATTCTGTCTTTTACCTCCATGGTTATACGTAGATTGTAAATTGACAAGAAATTGGTTAAGATCATTCAGCTTTAGCAAGGCACAACCTTGTGAAGTCGAGGAGAGTCCATCCTAATCCGTGGATGGATGGGATTCAAGACCACAGTAGGTAGAGCTGTTAGGGACAATGGGTTTTATAATTGTAAACTCACTTCTAACACTAGCAAGGAACAAGGTACACAACAATATTTGATTTTTTTTTATAAAGTACTCTGCAGAAAAATGCCAAAGCAGCAAATACCAAGTTAAGTTCATCGGTAATACGTAGGGTGCCCTACCTCAATGTGTCTGGTCCAACATTGACTCCTGTAAAATCAGGAATTAAACAAGACAATGGTTTGACTTTGATAAGTCTCTTGTTTATTGCTATTACATACTGAATTGGCAGTACAATGCATTACATGAAAATCACACCCTCCTGTAACCCAAAATTAGAAAGAATCTTAATCAAACTTGTTAACTAATAAAAAAGCCATCCTATAATGAATGCTTAACTAGGTATTCTATTGTCAGTTTTATCAATGTACAAAGATGAACAGTATCAGTATTGTAAGCGATCAAGAAGTGTATTTTGCATAATTCTATTTTTAACATGCTATCAGCCAAAAAACGGTCCACCACTATAAGCAAAAATATTTTTAAAGCCTCACAATTAAGCATGCCAAACATGTGCTGATAAAGATGTTTTCTACTATATTAATATACTCAAACCTCAAGTACCAAACACCTACATTACCCAAAAATATGACAAGCATTTCCCCTTCGCTAAATATCTTTGGTGTTATTCTTGTATGACCTCCTGGGTTATCCCACACAACAGCTACCGGGTATTTTATCCGTGTTACGGACTATACTCACACAACTCACACAAATAATTGTAGCGTTTGGAATATGTCGTGATGTGTGGTTGTCCATACTAGAATTAATTCAAATGACGAGCTGCAAAATCATTTACGATAATTTACGAGTTAACTCGTAAGTAGAATTTAATTTGTGGCCTAATTTCAACAAATTATGATCCACCAATTGCAGGAGACAATAAAACTTAAAATAAAAAATAATTCGGGGAGGGGATATCATATAACCTGAGTGTGAAGGAGAAATAATTGCACAATTATGTCATTTGATAAAATCTTTTTCTTACTAGATTCTTTGAAAATTCCCCCAAATGAGATTTCACAAAATAAGTAAGAGATGAAATAAACGGAATGATTAACAATATCCAGAACTGTTTTAGTATTGTACAATTCCAGCCTTGGCTGCCATTTTACTAGCTTTCTCTCGGGCATTTTTAGCTGTTTCTTTAAGTTTACTTTCACTCGTTGAAGCGTCCTGCATTTTATCAGATCCATATTTCATCTCCAGGATGTACTGAAATCCTTTTAAAGTACTTTGACAATTCTTTTTAAATCGTTCAATACCAAACGCTTGGATAGCATGAGAGAATCCCATGATACTGGAGGTGACCCAGGCTTCACGTTTCAATGACGTCCACTTCTGTTCTTCTGTATTCAAGGTATACTCGCATCTCTCTTCCACTACCTGCACAAAGAAATAAATAATTATTAGTCAAAAAGCCGAATCACAGTTCCAGCAATTACAGAGAACTTACTAGAGTGAATCATAAATGGAGAAATCTACTGATCTTTGCCATGCATGGATTAATATGCATTGATAACAGCATTTTTTCTCTTCATTATTTGATTTTAAGCATAATATCTGTGCTCTGAGCATATAAAACTCTAACTTATACTACAATATATGGGTGTACAGACTAACCACTACACCTGGCAATCTGAATCATGCAACAATTCAAATGGGGGTAATGTTCCTACGTGACCCCTCTAATGACAATCTGCTTTTGAGGTGTAATGTCAATATTATTTGATCGGTGGTTGTCTGTCGAAGGGAATTTTTTTTTTTTTTTTTAAAAAGTTTTACCCTATTCTAAATGAAGAGCGACTACATAACCAGACTGAGTTGTCTCCTTGAACGACACTGCTTAAAATAACGCAAGTCATTGTGTTGTCACCTATAGGAAAGGTATAATGTACAAGTACTACGCAATTATAATACCACATATTATATACTATTATTATACATCTGTCATCGTAATGCCTTAAGTTACAGCGTGTTGTAATATTGCATTATTTTACAGGGTATTTTTATCATGCAAATTCCATGAAAATTTTCTGTAAATCAAGGCAGGTTTTATTCGACAGCAGCCTATATAAAAAGCCGAAAAATGAGATAAAGCCAAACGTCTGGAAATACCTTATTTATAAGGTACGTTAGTATAGGAGATCGCCAACCGTAGCGACAACCGACGTTGTGACATAACACCTGATGCTGGACGACAAAGGGATTATGATCAAGGTAACCAAAATAGCATCGAAGATTGGTTTTGTGTGTTATGTTGATTTTGATGTCATTTTCAAGAGAATTTTGTTAATCCTACATTTGTGTATTTTGACCATTGCATTGCAAAGCTGTCAGCTGGCAATATTACAGTATTCAGAGTGTTATGTGTTCTATGAAAACATTTTTAAAAATAATAAAATTTATGCACCAAGAGAACAAGGAAAATAAAATCACGCTGGCCTTTTATTCTTGACACACAAAAATACATTCTGCCAAAAAAGTATTTCACAGTACCAATGGCAGTAAATGAATCACATACTTACCATTATACTGGATAAATAGCCAACATTGCGAGAATATGTTGTAAGTTTCTTGGCTTTGGGATCTAGAATCGTTTCTTCAATCACACACACTTGTTTTGGTCCGGTAACAAAGGAAGAACCCCATTTTGGCAGCTTGTTAGTTTTTGTATATAACTTCTTGGTGAAAAGTTTGTTCCCTTTTACATGATATGACAGCATGTCTTCTGTGAGCACATGTTTACTGTGGATGAGAAAAAAAAAAGTTAGTAACTTGTGGACAATCCACCTTCCACTGGATTTGGGGAAAATACTGTGAAACTGTCTAAAATCCGGTTAGAATGAGATATTTATTTTGAAAAAGGTTTTACAATATTTGCTCTATTAGAATTGCGAACTTAAATGACTAATTAAAAATAGAGAATAAGTGTGAATTCAGTCATTATTATCTTGTATGTGTATTTGAGATGCACTTCTAATAGAGCAAATACAGTACTTGTAGACAGATTAAGTCGTATAATAGAGAAGTCCCACCCCACCATGAAATCATACTCGTAGTCCTTGTTATTAATCATCTGTCTATTGTTTTTCTATTGTCTTCTCAATCCAGTAAAAAAATAAACTGAAAATTAATGCAATAAACAATCCAGTGCTTAAACTATTCATAAACTATCAGTGAATGTTTTTTTAAGCTACCAGAGAGGTTCTGTAAAATGAGAACATTAAAATGATCATGTGTGGTGTTGCATATACATATATAAGTGAGCCTACCTGCGTGGATTTGGATATCTTTGGAAAAAGGAAGAGACAACTTGATCCCATTTGTATTTAAATTGTGCAAACCCTTCATAGTACTTCATTTTGATAATTTACCCTGTGAATATGAAATATCAAGTGAAGACTAATATCCTTAAAAAAACAACGATACATGAGACAAGATGTACACAATCGATCAATCTCCAAGATGTGCACCGTGCAACCAATCATAAGCTCTTTTAGAGATGATGCGATTTTTCAACAATAAAAAAGATAAAAATGGCTAACATGAGAAAAAATGCAGTGTTGTGAATAATCAAGAAAAGACAAAAGATTTGTATTAGAAACTTGTTCTACTACTAAGGTAAGTAGTTTGTTTTTTTAACAATCATTCTATTATTTCCCATTTTTGCTATTTTCAGGATTTTTTTAAATTAAAAAACAAACAAAAAAAAACAAGAAAGCCATGAGTTGCTTTCATGTGTTTTGAAATTATATGAAAGAAAACAAAACACGAGAGATAAATAAAATTGAGACTCAATAAAATTCCTACTAAATATTGAATGACTCCAATAGCTCAGTTTAGTGTACATATCAAGTTTTCAAATGCAATGTCCACAAAAACTACAAAATGTCCACACTTACAGTGATGTTATGACGTCAACCTATATCATGACATGCATCCTGCAAACTTAATTCCCAATTGACAAAAGGCATTGCAAGTTTATCTGAGCTTGTATAAATCAATAAACTCACTTTGTTTCGAGTCGAGTCAGAATGATCAATCGGAAGCTGTTTTTTTTGTTCCATTTATGGATCACCCCCCACATCAATATATATACATTTATTTGGCACAACATTGACTAAAAATATGGACACTAATAACTACAACTATTATTAACTTTTTTTTCCTAAATATAATATACATACTCAACAAAGTGTACAATCTTAATTTAATATATTTCAAGCAAGGGATATACAATTCCATATTTATTATATTTAAAATTATATATTTTCATAACGAGTCTAATCGGTGTTAATTATATAAACGTCGTTCATGAAGCTCTTTTTTTATTAGCTTCATTGCGTAGTTATATAACATTTTTTTTAGAATTGTTTACATGCATGCAGCCACCCCTTGACATCGGACTCGTTTTTGGTAGCTGGGTGGAATGATGATCGATGGTCAAAAAGCAATGTACCAATTCAAAGTTTTACAATATTATTGCACTGATCTAATCTCAAATCACTAAATGTGGTCTGATATCTAAAGTAAAAATCGCTTGTAGTATTAGACGTCGAACTTATTCAACGCAACCGTGCTATGGATCACGTAAACACGAGGCTGAGGGCGGAGTCCTTGACATCTGTAACACCCCCCAAAATAACAAAAAGAGTCCCATTATCAATGACGATCACCTACCTGATTAAACACAAAAAAATAAAATAAAAATTTTCTTCGTAATTCATTCATTCATATACGTAAACCTCAAATTTAAGGAAAACGACCATCCCTCAGATCGTCAGGAACTCTTTTCGCACCACGCCAACGTTCGTAAAGAACGTGTGTTATTTATTTTCTCCACGTCGGCATCACAACTCATGAGGGCGCACGGTCGAACAACGAAACACTTCCGCGACGTTTCGTCATAAGAGGGCGAGGCCTCACTGACGAAATACTAGTAGTAGTACATTTATACACGGTTAATACAGGGCAAGAATGTAGCAATCCAAAGTTCAGTTGTTTAGTTATTTCTAGAAACAGAGTCTAGTACAGTCACAACAGTACTCGTTGAAAACTACCAGGGTAGTAAAATACTATTTATCATTTTCAGATTTTGTTGGAACCGAAAATATGCAAATATGTTTAATTAAACTTTTTGTTCCGTCAAAATTCACGATACGACTTTTATCTGATGAGGCATGGATGAGAATAGGTAAGGGCATGAAGCTAAATTGAAAACTCTTTAGCTCATCGTTAGGGTTAGGGATCATCAGAAGTTGAATTTCTGTTTTATTAAATAAAATACAATTTATATGGGAATTAAACGCTGTCAACGTGTAAAATCAGTCATATACTGACATTCCTTGTAATTGTGTCAGTTTTTAAAAGTATTTTCATAACCTTAATCATGTAGCTAAAACGAGACTACATCAGTAAAATTATCAGGCTTGACACAATGTTTATACTCCCGGGTACAATTGATATATAATAGCAGAGGTACATTACTTGGAGGTTTGCAACGTGCATAGTACTGTATGGTGACATCATACCAAGATCTCATTCATGTCTCATCTCGTAGATAGCGAGACTGACGCTACGACATTCTGACATGACATAGGCAGTTTGTAATAAAACAATAACACATGTATTACCACATTCATAGCGAAAAAATATAATGCATCGAAAATGTACAGAAAATATAGTTATCGTAATCCGTCACATCGTGAACAGCTATTTTGATCCACCTGGACATCTCAGTATCCTAGTTACCTCGGGCATGTGCATTCACATTTTTCTACGCTGGAACGCATATGCAAAAGCGAGATTGAAACAGGATCTTGGTATCATGTCACCGTAGTTGCAAACCTCAAGTAATGTACCTCTGATAATAGACAAGTTTCAAATTTTCTGATTACTGACAGTTGTGTGTATTATATACCACTGATCGAATAATTGCAATTTCTCCTTGCACATCTTGCGTCTTTATTTGCGCTGTAATATTTGTATGATGAACATAACTTTTAGTCTCAAAAATCATGAATATGAATAATAAATAGAGGTGTGCTAACTCACTGTTGATGTGTACATTACAGACTGCATATAAACAAAAGGAAGTTTAGTTACCGACACCACAACAATAACAGTGATTGACAAGAATTTATTCATGAGAAACTTATTTTTTTAATTTTCTGTCCACATATTTGATCAGGTTTCCAAGGATAGTAATCATTATAAATTTATTATACAACAAGTACCGGTACTATGATATTAATATAGTTGTTTATATGTGAATAAACGAATGGGTTTTCAATCTCCTAACAGTGAAATACGAAGGTTTCCTGGATCTCCTTATTAGGAGTGTTGTCTGTATGCTGATTGGTTATGATTGCCTTTGGTCAAGGTCCATTACTCAGAATGGGGGTTCAATCCAGCTGACAACTGTCACAAGCCCTGTCATATTGAACAGCATTTTCTGTGTAGCATCGCTTGTTCGTATGAGTCGATTTGCTGGTCCACAAATTTTCCAGGATATTCTCATCCATAAATCATGTACCATGTAAGAACAGCAATAATAAATCAACATGTTCAGAACAAAACTGATGAAGCGATTATTCGGGTAGAACTCTGGAAACTAATGTGTCTTCTAGTAGGACTAATTTTGTAATGATCCTGATTGAATCAAAATGGAATTGTTGGCTTCTGGAAGAGAGGCCTTCACAGAGAAGATGAAGTGTGTAGGTGGCAGTAAGTAATTCTTTAGGTCGATCACTGTTAGACCCAAGTTCAAATCCTTGTGTGGTTGATCCACTACTCTAGCTGGGTAAGCAGGCAGCGAACTCAATAAAAATTAGGCTAAATCCACTGGTTGAGATTCATTTACTAACTAACAGTTGTGATTTTGGGGAACCTTGGATAGGGGGCTTGTGTTCGGTTGAAAATGGTTGACATCAGGAGAGCACATTATGATAGGAAGATGGTCACAAAAACTCTTCAGCCAACATAGTCCCAACATGTGTCCGCACTCACAATTATACACAGCACAAGTCAAGCGAGACAACAGTGACATTCGATGTCCAGAACTATAATTAGTTGCTTTTCAAGATCACAATATCAATCATGATTTTCTGTTGCGTCAATGGTCGATGTTTCAGTGAATCAGTATAGTTATTTGCGGTGAGAAAAATCTGTCAAATCGGTTTATGGCGACAAACTGCTGAAACCCCTTGCTTAAGATTAATGCTATCACATACAAGGAACCCAAGCAACTATAGAACCTGCACTTGTTTGTATTTTAACTGGTGTACACTTGTCTTGAAGGATGTCTCATCACCTATCACTTGAAGCAAGATCTCTCAATTTAACTACTAAATCAGTGTTAGTAAATTTCATAACAAACTCCGGCGGCTGGAATGCGGCTCCCATGTGTACATTCGTATTACGATACATCATAGTTGAATCTTGCGTTTTCCTTGCCGAGCAATGGAATTCATGAGCACCAGTCTGTTCTAAAATTCTTCGCAGGTTTCTGTCATTTATACCGCCGCCTAATATAATACAAATACATATACACATATAAGATAAACATAAGATACATATGATAATAAATAAAGGTTATTTTGAGGCCAAATTGAAGGCGTGGTTTTATTTATTTAATTTTTTTTTACAAAAGTTCATAGATATAATTTAATTGTTCATATTGTTTTCAACAGAAATAGTACTAGGTCATACATATTTCACCAACCCATTGTTTATTTCTCCAAAAATCTCCATCACATTTGTATATTTTTCTATAATTTCTTTGTTAGTTTTGGATGAAATGGACATAAATTACCATTGGCTATAGGTTTTCATCATGCATAATAATTTAATAACATATTTTTTTAAATAATCTATGCATGAAAAATTAATTTTGTGAAAGGAAAAATAAAATAAAAAAATAAATAAATAAAATAAAAGAGTTATTAAATAAAGTTGTTCATAACTTACCTGGAACAATAATTATTCTACCTTTAGCTTGGTCTATCAATTGTTTTATAACAGGTGCTCCTTCAAGCGCTGTCGAGTCACACCCACTCGTGAGGACTCTATTGAATTTTAAACTGATGATATCTTCTAACGCTTTAGTTGGATTCCGAGCCATATCGAATGCTGTTAAAAAACCATAAACTAAAGTGAAACAAACCTTGTCTAACAACTACTCGAGAACCAAGAAGAACGATCGACCGTTCTAAATTTTCTAAATTATTGATGTTGTGACGATATCTCCGGATCCTGACTTTTTAAGCGAATGTATACGTAGTTTTCGTTGTGCATATTTCGATGCAAGTTTTCCAAAGTTATTTTAGTCTGACCCCGGAATAGAGGTATGCATAAGTGAGTACTCGTGTTTTTATATCATTCGATGCCAATTTGGGCTTAATTTTGATTTCAGTTGACTTCATATTTCCATTTATTCTGAGTCAGTTCATGCACTTTGAAGTAGCGGTCGCAACATTCTATATTAAAAACACGAGAAGTCGTCTATATTGTTGGACATCATAAACTTGTAACAAGTCTATTTTTTAAACTCCATGTAACACAATTTGTTAAGAAGTATGTGATATATATGTATCGTCACATTGGCCTAACGCAGTGATTTTTGAAACTGAGTAATTACCAGCGAGATCTTACTTTTGACGTGTATGTATACTGAGGCGCCGTGATGTTATTGTATAATAGAAATGTTTGTACTGCATGAACTGGAATTTAAGTGTTTGTAATTTTTAGTGATTTTTTTTTGTATTGTAATTCTGATTTATTACAGTGTTATGTGAATTAGAATGAATAAAACGATTATTGGCAATCTACCCGTGAACGATGTTGCTAATTCACGTATGTGCATTCACCCAGGATCTTTTATATATAAAGTATGGTGCCCTCAGGTCAACTCAGAAAGAGGCTCCTGGGTATTCAACACATGTTTTCAGTACTGCACAGGCGTTGGAAACCAAAACTTGGTTGATAAACACTTCATTTTCTTTTTAATTTAACTTCTCAGTTCATTACTCACAGAAAATTGAGGGCACCAACTACAGTGCTAATTTTTACAATTGCAATATGCTTTATTAAAAATAAAAAAACAAAATAACGATAAAATTTGAAAATGCACAGAAGTTGATATTTTGAGCATCAACAGGTTTTTAGTACATATGAAAGCCAATTCGAAATGTGTAATAATCTAAACCGCTTAATTTTGCAGCTACGATTTTTTAAGGATTTGGCACTCATGAAGACAACATATGTAAAAATCAAGTGATTCCATGCCTTCAAGACCCAAGTGACCCACTGCTACAGAATTTTAATGACTTGTAAAATTTACCAAAAATAAACCGACAATATAACCAATTTATAATATTAGACTGGTATACTCAGCTTCAACTGTTATTATTAATTCAAAGTTACTAGCAATATTTGAAATTAGCGAAATGTTGAAATATTTTGATAATTCTGACAGGAAAAAAAAATCTTATAGTGACTTATAGCTCACCTCTATGGAAGGTAACTTCTAGTGGTCGTGACAGCTCTGTAAAAAAAAAAAAGATCAAATGTTTTTATCCATAATCAATTCTCCAAGACTAATAATTTATCCTTTATTAATGAAGTGCTGCCTTCTTTGATGAAGAGATAATACATGATTAATGTAAGGTATTTCACAATGACAATGATTGTGTAGATATTTGTTAAAAATATATCAATCAAACTTCTCAAAAGTACATTGAACAACAGCAATGCGTAACTGGCTTTTATTTCACCCATCCATACTACCAGCAACACTTCATCTCTGATGACACAATCTCTTGTAAAGTTATATTATTGATTATCAGCATTTGATAGTCTGACAAACATATTTACAAGAAAACTTACCAACTAATTCTCTGCATGCATTCACGTCTATATCACCTCTCCTTGATGGAATAAAAATATTTTAAGTGTTTTCAGTATTTATTGAAATATTTATTCCAAGCCATAATATGGAATAGGTACAATACATGTACAATCCAGCCTACCATTGACCCCTATGTTTGGTTGTGTATGTAATCATTATTTAGAAATATTTCAATAACAGGCTTGGTAGCATGAATTGTGTGATAAAAATGTCAAAATATGTATGGTCAAAATATTTGAAAAAATTATCACTCTTTAATGATAGAAATTCATCATAAAAATAATATTTTTCTATTAGGAGAGAGTGAGCTGATTTTTGACTGTCTGTTTTCTATTTTTAAACTATTTTATATCTGAACACTTTATTGCTGTACACTGATAGAAATGTTATTTCTAAAGATGTACTGTAAAAGCATTATTTATTAACTGGTTTTCATTTTCGTTATTGCGATAATAAATCAGCTACATTAAATTTACATGAACATGTAAAATAGCAATAGAACTCATTGTTTTCCTGCCAAGTTTGTGAATTTAGTGCTCAAAGCATTAAAATAATGAAATTAAATGTCTGTGAAAATAAAATGGTTTTACAGTATTATGTGACACATTACGGTAACAAAAGTGTATATAATTTTCATTTTAGCCTGAATAATTCATTAGTTTTCATTGATACCTTGTTAAAAGCACCAAACACTATACCATCAGCACCACACGCTTTCACGACATAATATCTTGTCTCATAACATCCATCTCGTAATCTGAGTAACTGAAATCTCCTCCACGTGGTCTGATCATAACATATACTGGCAAATGACATTCAGTTTTCACTACTTTCAGCATTCCTATGGGGATGAAAAACAGGAATATAA